ACCCTAATACCAAGACCAGGTAAAAAAGTTACAAGAAAGTAAAACAGACCAATATCCCTTACACAGATAAATGTAAAAATTCTCAACAAATATTAGCCCATCAAATCCAACAATGTATAAAAAGAATTATATGCCACAACCTAGTAGAATTTATTCCAGGTATGCAAGAATGTTTCGACATTCAAAAATCAATTAATATAATCCATCACATCAAAAGGCTAAAGAGGAAAAATGACATTATTACATCAATAGAGCAGCAAAAGTATTTGGCAAAATCTAACACCCATTCATGATTTTAAAAAGAGAAACTCTCGGAAAACTAGGGATAGAGGTGCTATGGGCTAAATGTGTATGTCCCACACCAAATGTGTATATTGAAGTTCCAACAACCAATGTGATGGCATATGGAGGTGGGACCTTTTGCAGTTAATCAGGTTTAGATTATCTGATGAAGATGGAACTCTCAAAATGGGATCAGTGCTCTTATAAAGAGACACCAGAGAGCTTGATCTCTCTCTCTCTCTCCCCCCACACACCCCCCCCCCATACACACACTGAGGAATAACCATGTGAGAACACAATGAGTAGGTGAATGAATGAATGAATAGGAAATCAATGGAAAAACTCAATGAAAACAAAAGCTAGGAAAACAAGCTAGGAAGTGAGACCTCACCAGCAACCAAATCTGCTGGCACCTTCATCTTAGACTTCCTAGCCTTCACGGCTGTGAGAAATGAATGTCTATTATTTAAGCCACTCAGTATATGGCATTTTGTTATAGCAACCTGAACTGATTAAGACAGAGAGATCTCTTTATACTTAATAAAGAACATCTACAAAAACTTTACAGCTAACATCATAAGGGTAAGAAACTAGATGCTTCCCTGCAAAGATCAGGAACAAACCAAGGATGTCCCTTCTCACTAATCCTATTCAACATTGTACTGGAAGTCCTAGCTAATGCAGTAAAACAATAAACTCAAAAGGTACACAGATGTGGAAGGAAGAAATAAACTTATCTCTGTTCACAAATGACATTATTATTATTATTATTATTTTGAGACAGAGTCTAGCTCTGTATTTTTAGTAGAGATGGTGTTTCACCATATTGGCCAGGCTAGTCTCGAACTTCTTGACCTCAAGTGATCCTCCCACCTCCCAAAGTGCTGGGATTACCACCGCACCCGGCCCACAAATGACATTATCGTCTACATAGAAAATCCTTCAAAATTGCCCTTATATGCTCTCAACAAACTAGTATTTCACGCATGAGAAATGAAAAAAGTGCCCCCAAAGACCATTGAACCTCTCATTGTGAAACAGAAGCTCATGAGTTTTAAATAGAAAAGAAGTCAGGAGGGACCTCTGAACAGTTTGTTCTCCAAGCAGCCGAGCACACATTCACTAAGGAGAACTACATTCTAGGATTTAGCATTGTTCTTGAATTACCTATCTCAGATCCAAAAGTTCAACTTGCTGAAGGCTTTGATGTGTTTATGCCTAAAACTTCACCGTACTCTATATTGTCAAACTACACTCGCACAGAAAGCCTTTTGCTTAGAAAATGGTGTGTGCATTTTTTATAACAAGACTTTGGCTAACTCCTTAATCTATTGGGGTAAGAGAGTAAGAGAAAAAAAGGACTTGATGACAACCAAAAAGGACTAGACCAAACTACTGTGTGTACAATAAAAGTGAGAAGTGTTACAGCATTCCAGAGAGGATTAACATGAAAGCTAGCACGATGAAACCATAAGCATTCTGCAACTAAATTGACAAGAGAAGAAAGTAAGTGTGGGAACATAATAAGAAAATGAGATCAAGAGGTATACTGAGGCTGGACAAAAACGCATATATCTTATAGATATTGATGACTCATGAAGGATTTTACATGTGAAGGAATAATATGAAATTATTTAGAAATAGATCACTGTAGAGATGTCCAATAGAACTTTCTATGATGATGAAAATATTCTATATTTGTGGTGTCCAGAATTGCCCCACTACCCACAATAGTCATCAAGTGACTATCAAACACTTGAATCCAAAAATATATAATAAAATATAAAAATATAGATTATGAACAATGGGATTTGTTGCACGATTATGGGTTGGCTTAATATTTGAAAATCAAGGTAATTACCAGAATGACGAAGAAAACTGATATGATCATTTCAATAGATGCAAAAAATTTTGACAAATTTCAGCACCTATCCATTATGGAAAAAAAAAGTCAGAAAACTAAGGAGGAAGAAAAATAAAAGAAGGGAACTTCTTCAATAAATATTGAAAAGGAAGAACACTGTTGGAGGATGTATTTACCTGACTCCAATACTTGCCAGGAAGCTACAAAAATTAAGAATGTTTGGCACTGGCGTAAGGGTCAATAAATAGATCAATGGAATAGCCTAGGAATTGGCCAACACTTATAAAATTTTTAGATTTTTCTACAAAGGAACCAAGCAGTCCAACTGGGGAAAGTCTTTTTAACAAATGATGCTTGGACTACTGGATATATATATGGAAGAAAATGAACCTTGACTCCTGCCTCACACAACACACAAAAAATAAATTTGAGACAGATCATAGATTTAACTATAGAAGTTAAGCCACAAAGCTTATAGAAAAAAAAGAAAGAATTTCTTCATGTCTGGGACTGTAGGCAAAGGTTTCTAAGAGAGTGTACATAAAATAAATAGAACTTGGGGGAAAGTCAGCAAAGAAAGGCTGAAAAACTATTTCAAATTAAAGTAAACCAAAGAGACACACCACATTCAGTGTGTACACACATATTTGATTCTGGGCCAGGAAAGAAAATGACTATGAAGGAACTTTTGGAACCAACTAGCAGTGTGTGAAGAGTTTATAATTTAGATAATAGTGTAGTAATAAGTTGTATCAGGCCAGGCACAGTAGCTCACACCTGTAATCCCAGCACCTGGACAACAAGAGTGATACTCCCTCTCAAAAACAACAACAACAAAGGAAGAAGAAGCAGAAGGAGAAGAAGGAGAGGAAGGGGAAGAGGAAGAAGAAGAAGAAAGAAAGGAAGGAAGAAGGAAGAAGGGAGGAGGAGGAGGAGGAGAATAGGGTTCCCTTTTCTACCTGGGAAGTATCAGTGGTTTCAGCAAAACGGAACTTTCTCCAAGATTACCTATAAGGGACATTAAAAAAATCACTCTCCTTTAGGAAGCAAAGAAGAGGGAATTGATGTTTGTAGTAGATCTTCCCAGAGACTGATCCACGGGTAAAGAAAGTCAAGGGGAATAGACTTCGTCAGGATGGTGAGTGTATTAGGTTCATACTGCTGCTTTAACCAGTTACCACATACAGAAAGGCTTAAAATAATACAAATTTATTATTATCTTACAGTCCTGGAGGCTGGAAATCTGCAAAGGGTTTCATCACACTAAAATCAAGATGTTGCCAGAGCAGCTATCCCTCTGGGATTTCTAGGGAAGAATCTGTTTGTCTTTTCCAGGTTCTGGAGACAGCCTGTATTTCTTGGATCTTGGCTTCCTTCCATCTTCAAAGCCAACAATGGCCAGTGTAGACTTTCTCATGGTGCTTCAATCTGATATTGTGTCCCTGCCTCCCTCTTCCACATCTAAAGTACCCTTGCAATTACATTGGCCAAGATAATCCAGCATAATCTTAAATTAAATTCAGCTGATTAGCAATCTTAATGATCCTTTGCCAGGTAATATAAAATGGTACAGGTTCTGGAGAACAGGACATGGACGTCTTTAGGGGACCATTACCTGCCAAACACAATGAGGGTAGCATCTAAATGAGTTTTCAAATGGACAGCAGTAACAACATCAACTTCGTATTTAACCACATTGTCTGTCCTATGCAGGAAGCAGGGAAAGGAGGGGCTCAAGATTAAACGATGAATGTGGGGGCGATTCAAAAGGAGCCAGGTTGCTTTGTCTCGGGGAGGGGGGTGCACGGTGGGATCCTCTCCAGAGAATGACTGCTGAAACAGCAGGTAGTTGTGGCAGGTGGCTGAGATCCAAGCTGGTGCGAATACCAGCCACATTTCCACACTGTCAAATGTCATGGCAAGAGAAGACTTGACAGGGAACTGAAGAGGAGCCAGGACCATCCCTACCTGGTGCCATCAAAGAGAGAGGACTGTTATGACCTCCTGCGGGTCCTGACAGGGAGAGGTCCTCTTTTGGGGGCAACTGTGGGGACGGTGCAATGCCAACGTGAGCCACTATTTGAAATGAGAAAAAGCGGTGTGGCAGAAAGAAATGAGTCTGGTGCAAACCAGTGGTTGGTTTCCTAGGGTTAGAGGTCTAGGTCTACCTTCTTTTAGAGGAGGGGCAGTGTTGAGGCCTTGATGGGAGCCCCCTGCCCCGGAGTTCACTTAAGAGCAGGTGTACCTTCCTCCCCTGCGTGGCTCCATGAAGCTGGGAAAGAAACGCACAGGACGACCACCCTAGAGCCCCAGGCCTGTATTGCCTGAAATCGCCTCTCCCCTCCCACACTGCAGTGCTGACACCCCCTTTCCCATTAGCGTCCAGGAAGGAGGGTGACGGGACTGGGGAGAGACAGAGGGCAGACACCCAGCAGTCCTTGTGAAGGGGGCTGTTGGGGCGGGAGTGCAGACATATCACTGGGCGGTTTGGTATCCATCCGCTGTTCCCTCCAGCGCGGCTCTTCCAGACCTCGCGATCCTGTCCTCTGCCCGGGCCCCCAGCCGCCCGCCAGTCCCATATATTATAGCAGCGCCAGAAATATGGTAGTGGTCGCCACGTTAGGGTCCGCGGGGGCCTCCTGAGGCACCCTCGTGCCAATCCGCACACTCAGGCTGGGGCTCATCCTGGCCCCGCCCACCTCGGGGTCGGAACTACGGTGGGCCTGGGAGGGGGCGTCGAGCACTTTCGCGCCGTATCCCTCCGCCCCCCTTCCCGACACCCTCGCGGCGAGCGGTTCTTGCCGCATCCTGCGCAGCCCCTGCCTACTTTGGTGCAGAGGCGTGGGGGGCGGGACGCGTCTTTGCCATTCGGATCGCGGGGAAAGAGGTGGCTCCAAGTGAGGAGCCGCCAGAGGAGAGCTGAGGAGAGGAGGGGGAGGCCGACGACCTGGGCCCTGGGCCTCTGAAGGCAAGTGCGCGTGCTTGAGGTGGGGATCCGGGTTGCGGGGGTGGTCCGGCAGGGTGGAACAGCAGGCAGCCTGCCCCGCGGACCCTGACAGCTTGGCAACGAGGAGACGATCCGGTGGGAGCCAGGCGCTTGAGAGAGGTGCGCAGTGCTCGAGACCCCTGGCGATGGGGAGGCGGTGACCAGAGCGGGCCGGGCCAAGGGCTGAGGGGCTGGCTTGAGAGGCACCGTCAGATCCTTTGGAGGAGAACCGCGCTGACCGCTTCCCAGCCAGCTTTGCAGGCGCCCGCGCCCCGCCCTCGACCGTGCCTGTGCCCGGAGAGGGCTGTGGGGGAGGCTCCTGCGGGAGAAATGGCGGAGCGGGAGCCGTTGTTGGGGGCGCCGAGGGAAGCCGGCGGGTGTCGGCGTCCCGGCTCTGTACCCAGTCCGCGGGAGGTGAGCCGCGTTTGCTACTCCGGGCCCCGATTCCCAAAAGGGGCTTGTGGGGCTCCATGTCCTGGGTGCCTTCCCTTCCCACAGGCTCCAGGTTGATGTCAAAGTCTTCTGTCTGCGCGGTAGGTCTGGCATATTCTGACAGGACACAGTGAGCATCTGTAGAGGAGAGACTTGAGATAAAGGAAGAGCACGAATATTGCCTGGATTTCTGGAGGTGTGTGGGGATGGGGGTTGGGCGCTAAACACTGACTGGGGACCCGAATCGGGGTAGGGGACTGTGACCAGAGCAAGTCCGGCGTCCAGGAGCACCTCATAATCTTCCCCTCTCTAATGGCGCTTCCCCCGCCTTCCATCCCCACCTACCTCCCCCACTGTCCTAAACTGGGGGCACGAAAGGGTGGGCTTTGGAAGGAGGGGTGATGAGGGAGACATACTGACAAGTACCAATTCACAACCTGTTTTCTAGAATATGCGGCGCCCTTCCCCCATTTTATGCTGCGCAGAGCAAGGGGATGTGGCGCACCTAGTGGTGAATGCTCAGAATTGGAAAAGGGAGTAATGGGAAGAGTATGACGTCAAGAGAAGGAGTTGTTATCTCTGGAACCTTGAAGCAAGGCCCAAATAAAATGAGAATATTCCACCAGCAAAACCCCCAATGTTGAAAGACATACCAATAATACGGGGACTCATCCTTGGCGTTGGTCTGTCTACCAAGTGCTCTTCTGCCACCTCTGATATCCTGACTGTCTTACTTTTTCATGTGTTTGTCCATAGGCCTAATTTAAGGCTGGCCAGTTCTGCAAGAAAGGCAAGGAGGAGGAGACTGGCTCACAGCTCTGGAGGTTGGTGAGAAGGGGGAGGGGGCAATGTAGGGGACAGTTGGAGACAGAGAGCATGGCAGGTGGCAGATCCACTTCCACTTGTAGTAGAAGTGGCGGACCCACTTCTATTCTGCCGGGTTTGCACAGTGCCAGCATCCTTTTTATTTCTTGCAGGAGACACGAGATAGGTGTAAGTTGGGTTGTGACTCAGAAAAAACCGGAGAGCAGGGACTAGGATACAGGAAACCATAGATACGTTGAACCCTTGAATGGGAAGAGATATATTTGTCACAGGGGCCAGAGTGCTCGCCTACCTACCAAGCACTCACACTCCATTCTGTCATTTATGTTTACTTGTCTGTAGGACCCCCTTCTGTCGGCTGTGGGGCTTGACACCACTTGAACAAGAAAAGGAGGGGGAAACTGCACCACATCAGTGAAGGTTGGTATGAGAGTGGGTATGCTTTTGGGTGGGGTAGTGGAGACCAGCATGGGTCTGGGAGTGATTAGGGTCCAATCTGGGGGCTTATTGGCCCCTCCCATTGCTGACATACTTTCCCACCATTGTTGGACCTGTTTTGTAGCAGGCAGCTGGTCCAGAGAGACTTTCTCAAAGCCCAGCTGTCCCACCTAGCATTCAACATCAGTCTCACTGCACATGGGGTGACACAATTGGAAGAGACTCAAAGCCTCATTTCATTCTCTCTCCCTAGATCCACCTCCAGTGGCTGCTCTGCTGGTGGTGGAGTTGCTGCTGACAACCACCCTCAACAGGTCTGCACCCATCCAGGAAATATCTGTCTTCCTTTAGCTTGGTTGTGCCTGTTCTACACTCAATCTGTATTATTGAATTATTGACTGAGACTGTGTTTGGGAAGGAGGCTAATTGACTACTGGACTGGATATTGACTCTAACTTTTGTTTCAAAGCTTATATCCTCAATCACCTAAAGATCAGAGTGTGAAGAAACAAACCTGTGACAGATCTGTAGTTAAGGTTTAGACTGGGGGAGGAGTATATTACTGGACTTCCTTTGTAACTTGTACCATGACTGGGGCAGAGATTGAGCCTAGCGCCCAGGCCAAGCCTGAAAAGAAGGCTGGGGAAGAGGTTATCGCTGGGACTGAGAGAGAGAATGATGTCCCTCTGGTGGTCAGACCCAAGGTTAGGACCCAGGCAACTACTGGGGCAAGGCCCAAAACTGAGACCAAGTCTGTGCCTGGGGCAAGGCCCAAAACTGATGCCCAAGCAATGTCTGGGGCAAGGCCCAAAACTGATGCCCAAATAATGGGTGGTGCAAGACCCAAAACGGAGGCTCAAGGAATGGCAGGAGCTAGACCCAAAACTGATGCCAGGGCAGTAGGTGGTGCTCGTCCTAAAACTGATGCCAAGGCAATCCCTGGAACAAGGCCCAAGGATGAAGCTCAGGCATGGGCCCAGAGTGAATTTGGGACTGAAGCTGTGTCACAGGCAGAAGGGGTGTCCCAGACTAATGCCGTTGCCTGGCCACTGGCCACTGCTGAGTCTGGATCAGTTAATAAATCTAAGGGCCTGTCTATGGATAGAGAACTAGTCGATGTGGATGCTGAAACCTTTCCTGGCACCCAGGGTCAGAAAGGAATCCAGCCCTGGTTTGGACCAGGGGAGGAGACTAATATGGGGTCTTGGTGCTATTCCAGGCCCAGGGCCAGAGAGGAGGCCTCTAATGAGTCTGGGTTCTGGTCAGCAGATGAGACCTCTACAGTGTCTTCTTTCTGGGCTGGAGAAGAGACAAGTATCAGATCATGGCCCAGAGAAGACTCCAATACCAGGTCCAGGCACAGGGCTAAACATCAGACTAATCCCAGGTCCAGGCCCAGATCCAAGCAAGAAGCCTATGTTGATTCCTGGTCTGGATCTGAGGATGAGGCTGGCAACCTATTCTCCTTCTGGGCTGGAGAAAATACCAGTAACTTGTTCAGGCCCAGAGTCAGGGAGGAGGCAAATATCAGGTCCAAGCTCAGGACAAATAGAGAAGATTGTTTTGAATCTGAGTCTGAAGATGAGTTCTATAAGCAGTCCTGGGTGTTGCCTGGAGAAGAGGCCAATGGTAGATTCAGGTGCAGAGACAAAGAAGATCCTAATACCGCCTTGAAACCCAGGGCCCAGAAAGATGTTGATGGTGATAGGGTCAAACAAGAACCCAGGTTTGAGGAGGAAGTCATTATTGGGTCCTGGTTCTGGGCAGAAAAAGAGGTCAGTTTGGAGGGTGGAGCTTCAGCAATCTGTGAATCTGAGCCAGGAACTGAGGAGGGGGCCATTGGCGGATCCACGTACTGGGCTGAGGAAAAGTCCAGTTTGGGGGCTGTGGCCAGAGAAGAGGCCAAGCCAGAGTCTGAAGAAGAGGCCATATTTGGGTCCTGGTTCTGGGACAGAGATGAGGCCTGCTTTGACCTAAATCCCTGTCCTGTGTACAAGGTCAGTGATAGGTTCAGAGATGCAGCTGAGGAACTTAATGCATCCTCCAGGCCCCAAACCTGGGAAGAGGTCACTGTTGAATTCAAACCTGGTCTTTTTCATGGGGTTGGCTTCCGATCCACAAGCCCCTTTAGAATTCCTGAAGAGGCTTCTGAAATGCTTGAGGCAAAGCCCAAGAACATGGAACTTAGCCCAGAAGGGGAAGAGCAGGAATCTTTGCTTCAGCCTAATCAGCCTGATCCTGAGTTCACATTTCAGTATGATCCTTCCTACCGGTCAGTCCGGGAAATTCGAGAGCATCTTAGGGCCAGGGAGAGTGCAGAGTCTGAGGGTTGGTCCTGCAGCTGCATACAATGTGAGCTGAAAATTGGTTCTGAAGAGTTTGAAGAACTCCTTTTATTAATGGACAAAATTCGGGATCCTTTTATTCATGAAATATCTAAAATTGCAATGGGTATGAGAAGTGCTTCTCAGTTTACCCGAGATTTCATTCGAGATTCAGGTGTTGTCTCACTTATTGAAACCTTGCTTAATTATCCATCCTCTAGAGTTAGGACAAGTTTTTTGGAAAATATGATTCACATGGCTCCACCTTATCCAAATCTAAACATGATTGAGACATTCATATGTCAAGTGTGTGAAGAAACCCTTGCACATAGTGTGGATTCCCTTGAGCAGCTAACTGGAATAAGGATGCTTAGACACCTCACTATGACTATTGACTATCACACACTGATTGCCAACTATATGTCCGGGTTTCTCTCCTTATTAACCACAGCCAATGCGAGAACAAAGTTTCATGTTCTGAAAATGCTGTTGAATTTGTCTGAAAATCCTGCTGTGGCAAAAAAACTATTCAGTGCCAAAGCTCTTTCAATATTTGTGGGTCTCTTTAACATAGAAGAGACAAATGATAATATTCAAATTGTTATTAAAATGTTTCAGAATATCAGTAACATTATAAAAAGTGGAAAGATGTCCTTAATTGATGATGATTTCAGTCTTGAGCCGCTTATTTCTGCATTTCGTGAATTTGAGGAGTTAGCTAAGCAACTACAAGCCCAAATAGACAATCAAAATGATCCTGAGGTGGGACAACAAAGTTAATATGATTAACCACCCGCCGCTGATCAGCCTTATGTTCCCAAAGAGCCCTGAGTAGTGCTTTGGTGTTCACAGTCTGTTTTTTTGTTGTAACTTATATTTTTTAATGCTTATGTTAACTTCGTCAAACTCTTGTTTTGAGCTGGATCATTTTGTGGATGCCAAATGAATATCAAAACTGAAAACACATTTGTTGATATTTTTGTCTTGCTGTCCAGATTGCGATATTTTTCAGTATTAAGCTTTCAGTGAACTGTGTCACCTAAGTAAGCTACCCTGCTATTTGTTGTTTAAATATATGGTTCTCTATTTGAGTCTGTGTTTTCAATAAAGTTCTATGTTTAAATTGGCATAAGTGACCCTTCTTCAGTTTAAGAACCATGTATAGATACATCATGTGCACTTACAAACATAGGTAATTATTAGTATGAGAAACATGCGCTCATTAGAAAATTCCGTTCTTGAGCTAAGAAGGGAGAGATTATTGTGGGCTCTGATACTTGAGGAATGCTTCCGAGAAGAGGGACCCATTTAAATTGGTCAGGATAGAACAAATTTGTCAGGATAGGAGAGCAAGACAAGTTGCCGACCTGCTTGCCCAATTATGAGCCTTCCCAACAAGCAACCTAAAATTAATACTTCTTATAGGACCCATTTAAATTACCATCTTAGCCCTGGGTAAGATAACACAAATCATTAGATTGCTCTTGGAAGTGGGCAGTGGTGGTTTGAAGAAAAGTGTGTAATTGAATAATCTGTTTTGGTAGCATGGATGAACCCAGTCTGCCTGAAACAAGTAAAAGGAGTTTGATGAGAAATGCAGTTAGAAAGTTGAGAAGAGGCCAGTTTGGGAAACAGAATAAGCCAAATCTGCATATTTAACAATTCAAAGTAAGGTGTTACTTCAATGCTACCTAAACGCTGAAAGAGTAGGATAGCACAATTAAATGGAATGGGGAATATGATTTCCTTTATATGCCTAGACAAAGGAAAGTGTTAAGGAAATACCATGCAGCCATTGAAATGATTATGTATGGATAGGTTTATTGACACAAAAGGACATTAATTATTTTATATTTGCTGAAACAGAGAACGTGACATGTATGGAAAATTAGATTCCATTTTTAAAACATCTGTAAATGTACACAATTCCTATGCAATTTCAATATGAATTTCTAAACATTTCACAGTCTGGAATAAAATATATACCATGTTAAAAAAATGCTTAGAGACAGGCGTTGGGGAGATAACAAACATTAATAAGACAAATTAAAATATTAATATGCTTACATTTTGTGTCGAGTTATAGATGAGCATGCTGGAAAGGACACAATTATATAAATGAATAAACTATAAGTGTTAAAATATGGTTAGAGATAATATCATTTAGCAAAGTTGTAAATGAATGAGCTATCAGAAAGACTAGCTTTTCATAAAATGTTTTAAAGACAAAAATTAAAATTGGCTGGGAACAGTGGCTCATACCTGTAATCCCAGCCCTTTGGGAGGCCGAAACGGGAGGACTGCTTGAGCTCAGGAATTCAAGGCCAGCCTGGGCAACATATTGACGCCTTGTCTCTACTAAAAATACAAAAAGTTAGCCCAGCATGGTGGCACGTGCTTGTAGTCCTAGCTACTCAGGAGGCTGAGGTAGGAGAATCACTTGAGCCTAAGAAGTTGAGGCTGCAGTGAGTCATGATCACACCACTGCACTCCAGCATGGGTGATGTGAGTGAGACCTTGTCTCAAAAAAAAAATAAAGTAAAATTACCAAGGGTGGGCCAGGCACAGTGGCTCAAATCCCAGCACTTTGGGAGGCTGAGGTGAGCCGATCACTTGAGGTCAGGAGTTCGAGACCAGCCTGGGCAACATAGCGAAATGCTGTCTCTACTAAAAATACCAAAACTTAGCTGAGCATGGTGGTGTGCACCTGTAATCCCAGCTACTGGAGAGGCTGAGGCAGGAGAGTCGCTTGAGCCTGGGGGGCAGAGGTTGCAGTGAGCTGAGGTCGCACCACTGCACTCCAGCCTGGGTGAGAGAGCAGAACTCCGTCTCAAAAAAAAAAAAAAAAAAAAAAAAAAAAAAAAAATTACCAAGGGTGTTAAGTTTAATATTAGTCTGTTCATGGTACAAAAATGGCACCTTTTTCACATAATTATTACTGTAAAAAACATAACATTTCCTTTTGAGGTGACAACAGAGTTCTGGAGCTAGACAGTGGTGATGGTTGTACAACATTGATAATGTACTGGGTTGTATACTTTAAAATGCTTAAAATGGCAAATTTTATGTTATGTGTATTTTGCCACGATAATTTAAAAAATGACCACACCATACCTTCAGTCAGGAGAATTGGAAAAGACAGGGATATATGTTGGTTTGGAGAGGAAATTCAGACTTAGGAGAAATATCAAATGTTTTATTTTTAGACATGACAAAATTTTTTTTTTGTCTCAGAATGCTCTAAATTTTCAAAGGTAAAATTACAAGTCATGTAAATGTAAAAAGAATATGTGAAAGATTTTTCAACACAATTAATGAACAACTGCTAGGATTAAGAAAACAGTTGAAGGGTATATGTGTATATACAATATACACCATATGAAGATATAAACAAAACATTGAATTTTATAAACACATAGGAAATTAATAAATGTTAGAATAACACTGCCAGGTTAAATACAAAACTAGTTAATATCTTACAGGGCAATAAATTGTAATATTTAAGGTTATCTATTGCACTGGACATAAATCATTTACATATCTATTGAATAAAATATCTACATGTTAACATCAGTATCTACAGAGTTGAAAAATAGGTAAATCAATAGACATCCCAGCACTGCCCTGAAATGACATCCAGTAACTAATGGTGACTTTACCTAAGTTTTGTATAATTTTTCTGACAGTGCAACATGCTTTTTTTTCCCCACCTGATCCTAGTTTGGTAAGGTACATGGAAGTGACAGTTTTGCCTCCCTTTGCAAACCATAAGTTTTAACAGGGATCATCCTAGTGGTGCAAATTGGAGTTTGAATTTTGTTTTGCTTACTACCATGTTTCAAGACAGATCCTGTGTGTGTTTTAGTATGTCGCTTGAGTCATATACAAAATATTAAAAATCACTTCATTTCCCAAATCCTCATCGAATGTTCCTCGCCAGCCAAGTGGTCCTCCAGAGCAAAGCCCAGCCTTCCTTCCAGCTGTCTGGCCAAGGAGCTTCAGTGTCTTCTAGCAAGCACCCCAGAGGCAGAAGACTGTCATCCGTGGTACGGGACTGCGGCGAACAAGCTGACTGCGCAGTCACGTGGGGCTGACGGTGGGTCATGTGACCAGGCTCTGGATTTGGCCTGCCCAGAGGAGTGATTTCTTACACCCAGAAAGGACCTGAAAGGCGGAAGACACCTGTGCTCCGCAGAGCAGAACGTGGGAGGAACGGCGGCATATTAAGGTAGGTAGGTGTCTTTCCATGCTGCATCAGCCTGAAAACTAATTTCTCAGGCGACCGGAACTACAGCATTTGTTGGTAAACAATCCCTCAGCCAACCGCGAGCGTCTTAGCTGATCTGTCTTTTGTTCAGGAGCTCAAGAAGCAAAGAGTCTACCTGCCTGACTCATTCGTGTAAAGGAGCAGCGGTTGCTATTGGAGGAAGTGGGTGCAAGGAGGGCAGATGCCATCCCTAAGAGGTGGTGACTGAGACTAGATGCGGGTGCAGGTAATGCCTCGGATCCGCCTGCTCCCTCCTACCTTTTGAACACCCTTATCCCCTCATCCCAAGGCGCCCAGCCCAGTGAGTGCCCTGTGTTTGTATGTGTGGGTGGGGGAGGTGGGCATATGGATGGAGTTGGCTTCAGGGAAGCCCAGAGCGGGGAAATGGTGAAGTGACAATTCGTGAACATCTGTGGTGCTGGATCAGGAAAGGCATGGGTGGGGATGGGAACCATGGGCTATGCATCCGCACTCATTCTACTCTGTGTCTTCTTACTGGCAGTATTCAGGCAGTGGGGATGGCTGATATCAGCTCAAAACTGGCAGAGGGTGGAGGAGGGCAGGAGAAGGGAACACATACATCTGCCTTTTACTGCAAGGCTCCAGCTGACTGGGGATGCAAGAGAGGAATGAACCTCAATCCTGGCAGTTCTAGGAAAAGGAGGAGAAGACATAGACTCGAGGAGAGGAAACCTAGATGCTGTGGGCCCTTCACCTAGGATTTCTCATTAGGATACTCCAAGCTTCTCGACCCCCAACGGGATTCCTGGATCTCAGCCCCATGCAGCAGAATCTCATTCCCATTGAGGGACACAAAGTGGGTTGCTGCTCCATGTGACACTCTCTCTCCCTGCTGTCTTGGGCCTCAGAGGAGGGTCTTTCTGGGGAGCACCTACAGAAACTGCTTCATGGATAGTCTCCTAAGTTCCCCTCTGCATACCCTTTGCCCTCTTGTGTTGTGATCTCTGCTCATTCCTTAAGATGTGTTTCTTTGGTCCCATCCCAGGTAGCAACCCCATGGTAAGTCCTTGTCCTCTTTCACATTGAGTATCCTCCTTTCCCCCTGCCCCATGCATCCACTGGGTACCAAGTGAAAGAAAGTGGTTCCTCTACCCACAATACTTCTGGCACAGAATGTGTGGATTTTTCACACCAAGCAATTCTCCTATTCTTTGAGGACACCAGTTAGGTATCCTACAGTTTAATTCAATTCTGACACTACCCAGAGTTAGTGCAGACTTCTCTGGTTAAGGGCTCATTCCCGTAAGACTGCCCTCCCCCACTTCATACAGCAATCACAAGTAATGGATCTCCATGTTACCCACACTTCTGTCTGACTTAGCTCCCAGTTGGGAGTTCCCACAACCCCCTCCTCAGGTTCAGTAATTTGCTATGAGGGCCCACTGAACTCAGGGAAACTCTACTTCCTATTACTGGTTCATAAAGAATATAAATTAAAAGTCAGATGAAGAGGTACATTATGGCAAGGTCCAGAAGGGTCCCAAATGCAGAAGCTGCCATTCATGTGGATTTGGTGTACACCACCTTCCCAGAATATGAATGAGTTCACCAACCTGGAACCTCTCAGACATTTGGGGTTTTTATAGAGGTTTCATTACATAGGCATGATTGATGAAATCATTGACCATTGGTGATTAGCTCAATCTTCAGCCCCTCTCTTCTCCTTGGAGGTCAAGGGGTGAGGCTGAAAGTTCCAACCCTCTAATCATGCCTTGATCTTTCTGGTGACCATCCATATCTTGAAGCTATCTAGTAGCCCTCACCCACCAGTCATCTCGGAGCATAAAAAAAGACACCTATCACTCCAGAGATTCCAAGGGTCTTATTGTCAAGAGCTTGAG